CGCACGGTACTTTTCAGCATAATTATTTTTTTGAATTTTTACACCTTATTATTTGACCAAATAAACTATATGTATTCCGAAAAAATATGTTTTTAATAAGAAGATTTTTGTTCTGAGATGTGTTAGGAATATGTGTAAAATTTCTAACTGAAAACGTTTCACATTACATGTCAACACACTACGGTGTTTTATTTAGTAAGTCTCGGGCGAAGCCGAGACGGGGGGCTGCTAGTAAAACATATTCTGTTGAAGTTTCAAGATATTTTTTTAATAGAACGGAATATATAAAATTTCAAAAAAGTGGCCCAAAAAGCAGTTCTTGCAGTTCCCCAAAAAACTGCTGGACCGATTAGGACTCAAAAAAATTTATTCAATTCGTATCTTAATTTCACATTTTTAATATAATTACACTTAGAGCGGCGTTGGCTCAGTGGTAAGCGTACTTGTTACTGATACAACGCAGTTCTAGGGGTCGTGGGTTCGATTCCCGGTGAATACAGATTTTTTCAAAAACTGTTTTCATCGAGAAAAGTTCCTATGTAACCCCGGCTGTTTCGGGGCAGGTTTTTCCGGGGAATTTTCCTTCAGAGTAACTCCTAGATTTTTTTCTTGCCCCACAGGTCTTCAGGCCTGGGTGAATGCAAAACAGTGTTAGGGATTATAGGTAGGGATTAGCGGATCCGATGCCAGGAGTTGGGCAGGGATCGCCGGCCTTACCGGCGAGGAGTGGTCCTTGAATTATGGAGTTTCTCCGGGGATACTAATTAGCCTGGATCCGTGGATCCGATGCTTCGGCAGAGAGCGCCGGCTTAACCGGCGAGGAGTGGACGTCCTGGAATATGGAGTCCTCTCCGAGGAAAGGCTACACAGTGGTGAGTGGACCCGATGCACCGTTGGTGCAGAGAGTGTCAGCGTAACTGGCAAGGTGGCAAGTTACACCAGAGATACTCACACTGTGCCCATAGATTCAGGTATGATATCAGTAAAAAGGGTTGGAAATGAGTGTGTCAATACACCCTCACACATAGGTGGTGAGTGGGTGGCCCCGGCGACTAGGCCAATAGGCTGTCGTGGTAACCCGGTAGAAAAAATATAATTACACTTTATTTGACAAATGCATGAATTTTAACGTTTTTTGCCATTCTGTTTAACTATCTTACTTTATAGGGATTAGCATTTAAACTTGAAGTGTTATTTATATTATTAGTATCTACCACTAGTAATTTTGAAGTCAAAATTCGCAGTTATATGTTTTTTAGGCGACAAGTCAGCTAATTTAACCTGACTATCGCTGAATCGTAGTGAATCGATATCATCAGATTGAATTTTATTTTGTTTTTATAAATAAAAGTAACGTTTAGATATCTCAAACCCATCATTTTGAAAACCACAGTTTTTGAAAACAAAGTGACATTCATTGTTTATTACAGATACAAATAATTTGAATACAAAAATGTCTGACTTAAAAATAATCAAGAAGATGAAATTTACCTTTCTGACTGCATTTTTCATTTGCGAATCTTTTTTTGACTCTTACTTAATAAAAATGTTGATTGGCTTTTTACTTCTAAAAAAACAACATAAAATTTTCGACGTAGTAATGAAGGCTTTTTGTCAAGAAAAAAAAAAAAGTAAAGATGACCCATTTTATCATAATTACAATCGTACATAAAGTGTATAAATGTATCTACTCTACTCATTAACATTGGTACTACTCTAAATCTTAAACTTTATTCTTAAGGTGGAGGATTATTTAAACGATTAAAAATTGTAGTAGAAAATAAACGTAAATATTAATATAAATTAAATTAACGTTTCTTTTTGTAGCTTTATCTACGCTATGATAACTTTTCATTCAAATGATTTATTTATTCAGTTTTTAATATTCTTTAATAATCAAGAAATTGATATAACAACATCAAATATTCTCTACAATTTTCCTACATTATCTTTCATCAGAGCTTGAAGGTCTAGAAATACATGTTCAATTATTGATTTTTCTTCTAAAGATGTGACATTTCCGACACTATAAACCAAAATTCTCGTTATGTTTGAGCGTATTAAATTGACTACCTAGTAATAATTTTCATAAATGTTTTAAAAACAATGTTATTTAATTGATCAAGTCATTTGAATGATTCTTCAGCTCAGAATCTTATTTTCGAGGTATTTTTCTAATTCAGAGGTTAGGATTACTCAATTTAATATTACGTATGATTTGTTGTTTTTCTCTATCATCTAAGCTTGAAGCTCCAAAAAGAATATTTCAATTTTTTACTATCCTTTTAAACATATTAGGTTTCCGATAATCCAAACGAAAGAGTTTGTTTTTTGAGGTTATGTTTAAGCAGAATAAATTGAATATATAGTGATAATGTTCATGAATGTTTGAATAACATCGTTATGGTGGTAATTAAGTTATTTACATGATTTTTCNGCAGCTCTAAACATGGAGGTAACAGTAAACTCAACACATCATAAGCTTTTCGTGCAGCATCAATGCCTAAAAGAATAAAAATAGTTTAAAAAATTTATCTTGCATAAAAACTCAATAAAATATTATAATGCAAAAAAATATTAGATTTTAAAGGTAACAAATAAGATATGTATTAAGCTTTGCACAGCAAAAAAAAAACAAATGTTACGAAACTCAGTATAACAGAAACTGAAAAAATTAGAATACACCTAATTTCTATGAGTCTTAAAAAATCCGATTTTAAAATAGTGAGAATTTTAATATTATTATGCATTCAAGCACTCTTGTACTTATGTTGCACGTGATTCTCGCATTCTAAGTACTTCCATGTTTGTTATGATATATGTATTAATACATGTACGAACTGTTGATCATGTAATCTAGAATAAAACAAAAAAGTTCACTATAATTTGCCGAAAAAAGGTACTTTTGTTTTGTTACGCGGGACAAAAATTTTTCTAATTTAAAATTAGTTCTCGTGCACTTGATAGGACATAATATATGTACAATTAATTCTTACTGGAATTTTCGTATCCAACTCATGAAATTTTTTTTTATAATTTTGGCAACCTTAAAGTAAAATAATCCACTCTATCTGACTGAGATTAAGGAAAACAATAGATAAATAGTTATTTTCCATTTAAAGTTGTAATTTATGATTCCATTCGTTTTCTATAATTGTTAATTATTTAATATTAAAGTTTACGTCTGCTTAACTAATTTTTACTAATCTCAAAATAAATAATAAGAAAAAAAGTTTTGGTCACGCGACAATATTCTTATAACATATATGATAAAAATAGAAAATAAATCAATTGATAGGTAGGATATATACAGTGTAGCTTTGTCTTTGAGATATGGCTTTCATTATTTTTAGAACTATTACAATTGTTTGTATAAATCCGTGTAATATATTTTTACACCGCAATAATTTTTTTCTACATGTAGAATTATTTTTTGGCCTACCTACTTTCGGGATACGACTGTTGTAACAAAAATGTTTAAAATATTTTGTTAGCATCTGTATTAATGTTCTAAACATGCTGTAATAATAAAAAAATTTTTTTTTTCAAATTAAATTAACGATACAGTCGAAAAACGATAAAATCAAGATTGTGTTTGTGCATAGTCCACCCCTCTCTGTTTGTGCGCGTTGATCAAGTAGTTTCCCTCTAGAAATCCCGTAAAAATAGTTATTTTATGTCTATCTGGCTTCCTTTTCGAGATATGACTGTTTTTCGAATTTGGAGAGGTTAAGATTTTGTGAATGTCCACATTAATTTTTCAAACATGGTATATAGAAGAAACATTGTTTTTACTTGTTCAAAAAGAAATCATTAAGGTTATGCAATAGTCCAGCCCCTCTATGTTTGTGCGCCTCAATCATGTACCCGATCGAAAATATACTGGACGGCGCGATAACGGGCCATATACGGCGGGGTAAAGTCGGTACACGGGCTTTCTATCAAGCCGTGATGGTACCGTTAACTTGTGTTACCAGGCGCATATACGGGCAGTGTGCCACAGCGGTAAAGTACTACGGCCTGTATGTTGCTCATACATGGCCCGTAAAGATGAAAATACACAATCAATCAAGTATTTCTTTAGTATTCTTAGAGTGTTTTAATGTATTACTATAAAATTAAAGTGACGTAGCCTCCAGACACGGTACAAGAATCGTGTACTACTTTTTTTTGTTAGTTATGATTGAATAGTATAAAAATATAAATAGTTAAATTAATGTAATGTATTTATTATATAATTTACTAAGAAACTATATAACTATAAACAATAACATGAAATAAAATAAAACTTAATTCAAAGAAACAACATAAATCATAATCTCAAGAGTGAAATATAAAAAAGAAATGTTATTTTTTAAAGAAAAAAATGTTTATATTTAGTTAGTCAACGAAAATAAACATTGTTGGCAAAGTTAATAAGAATAATTTAACAGAAAAAAAAATAGGTACGTTATACTTGGACCTTATATGGATATAAATTGTAAGCCAATGTTTACTCTTCATGGTTACATCGAGAAGATCCTTGGTTTTCGAGCAAAACAGACTAGATTTGCGGCTAGATGATGAGGCATTTTTTTTTTTTTTTTTTTTTTATAAATTAAGGTAGTGACAATGTAAATGAAAACATTTTTTTTAATTCACACTAAATTTTGGTACTTATCAAAAAGTATTCTTATTTGGTTTTTTTTGATTGAATAAAGTAATATTTTTACTGTAAAAAAAGAATGCTTTAAGATTTAAAATGAAGTGGACGTTCGCGTTCACTTAAAGATCCAAATAATTATTATTTTTGATTACTTTTTGGGAAAAAAGAATTCTAGAAGAATTCTAGAATTCTTATTGACTACCATGTAGTGATCTATTGGGGTTTTCTATTATACACAACTATCTTTTAGGTTTTTCATCCATGATTGTAAAAAATGTTTATTGTTTACAATAAAACATACACTTTGCTACTGCAATGAACTTTTCGGAGTTAAAAACTATAAATCATATCAAAATATTTTATGGTTACGAGCAGTACACGGCCATTGTATGGGCAGTGTACGCAATGGCTCATATACGGTACCTGTACACAGCCCGTACACGCGCCTGGTAACACATTTCATGCGGCCCATGAGAATTTTCTTACGGTAACAGTATACAGGCCGTATATTTCTTTACGGCAGTTACAATCTATCGGGTAGTTCTCCTTTAGGAAATCCGGAAAAATGATTATTTTTTGCCAATTCATCTTCCCTTTTGAAAACAGTCTTTTTTCTTGTTTGCAAAGGTTAGGTTGTCGTATTATACATATTTAATAGTTTGTGCACTTTTTGTTACATACATATGTACATACGAAAGGATAAATAGAAAAAGAGAACAATTTTTATCATGTTTTTTTTTAAGACTTCAAAGAGACCAAGCGACGTTTTGTCAGACATTGGTTACCTTATAGTACCTTAGCTGTAAATAATAGATGCCTAACTGAGCTTGTATTACAGCCACATTACTACTTTTATCATGCAGCAGTAGGTATAGAGTACTATAAAGAGAGGCTATATATATTACATATATATATATAAATATATAGTAACTGCAGCACACCATTGTGTGCATGCGAGAGGGGGAATTCGAATTTGAATTTGAATAGTTTATTGAGGCTAAGGACTCAGGGTCCTTAATAGCCAAAGCTTAATACATTGCCTTACATTTGGCGGAAATAGTAGGCACGCAGGCCCGCTTACATTGTTTGAGATTCAAGCTGTGTGTCTAATCTAGTGCATATTAGTAAATAAGATAAGAGAAGAAAAAAGTATAGATAAATTTAACATAAAATTTGAATAAAAATAATATAAAATTCAATGCTGGAGTGCAGTAAATAAACAAAATAATTAATAGTAATATCACATCCCTCAATTGAGCCGCAAATCTATTGATTCCAAATATTGAAAGAGGTCGATCTTGAAGTTGGGTGAAGCAGCCTTTTTCCGAAGCCTGACTGGTAGATTATTCCACAATCTCGCCGCTCCCACCGTGAAGCTGCATCTATAAGACTCCGTTCTGGCCCAGGGAACTATAAGGTCACATACGGACGACCTTTCAGAGTACTCAGCACGAGCAGCTCGAAAATTGATGTTGACATCAAGGTACCCCGGGACCTTATAGCGCATGACCGAGACAAGTAGACAAATGGTGACATATTTAATTCTACCTTCCAGACTCAGAATCAAGTACTTTTTGTACACAGGCGTGATGTGATGCCACTTGGGCGTACCATCTACAAAGCACAGTGCAGCGTTTTTGCATCGTTCAAGCTTGCGTCTCATTTCACCAGAGATGCCCAAGAAAAGAGACGCGTAGTACTCCAGATGAGGAAAAACTAGCAGCTTGACAAGCAGCACCCGAGTATCCACCGGCAAACAATCTCTGCATCTTCGAAGACACAATAATGTGCCAAAGCACTTCCTGGAAACCGTAGTGCAATGAGCTCTGAGTGTAAGTTCACTGTCCAGGACAACACAAAGCACAGTAATCTCTGATGAAAACTCTAGCGGAACATTGCCCATAATTAGAATAGGTGGATCAACTGAAGCCCGAATCTCGCGCAAGTAAGCTCTGGAGGCAAACCATACCGCCTTGGTCTTACTGCAATTAATTACCAGACCATTAACCGTTGCCCAGGAAGAGACCGCATCCAGCACAGCACCGACTCTGTCCGCAATCATCCTGATCTCCTCGACACTACCCGATGTGTATATGAAAAAATCGTCAGCATATTGGTGCGTACTGACGTTAGAACAGATGTCGGGAAGCTCATTAGCAAATAATGTGAACAGTAGGGGGCCCAGAATACTGCCCTGTGGTACACCACTTAAACAAAATAGCGCCTGCGAAAGTTCTCCATCAGGGGCGCGAACCACTTAGGTGCGATTAGTCAGATAGGACAATATCCAGAGACATGCCATATCAGAAAATCCAAGAGCCTCAAGCTCATCAATCAGCAGCTGAACATTGACAAGGTCGAAGGCCTTCGTGAAGTCCACAGACACCAGAAGAGTCACCTGCCTCCTATCAATCGCCAATTTCAAATCATCAACAATCTTAACCAGTGCAGTACTGGTGCTGTGTCTTTTGCGGAATCCTGACTGAAGTGGATGGAGCAGGGAATTATCCTCAACAAAAGAAAGCATTTGTTTGTATGCCAACGCCTCGAGGAGTTTGCAGGATGCACTCAAGATACTGATGGGACGAAATGAATCAGGCGTTAACGCTGGCTGCCGTTTGGGTATTGGGATTACTATGGCCCTCCTCCATGCTGAAGGGAAATAACCAGTCTGCAATGAGGCATTGAAAATATCTAAAAGAACAGGAAATATTACAGGCATGCTTAGCTTAATAATTTTTAGAGACAAGCCATCAGGACCCGCAGCATTTGAATGAGAGGAAGCAAGAGCCTCAATCAGATCTCCAAAGTCCACAGGCCTAAAATAGAACCTGTTATCAGGCGAGATGCGCGCAGTC